ATGCCATTTCCCCGCGCTACATCCGCAAAAATCCTCGCAGCATGTACGCGCGTGTGTCGCACATGATGGCACAATTTGTTCGAAAAATAGAAAAATTGTCCCATATCATAGGGACAGCCCCAATACAAGAAATGGCGCGCGCTTACGGTCTCCGTCCCCGATTATGGCTCCTGATATGGTCCAATTTTTCTGCAGGCACAAGCTGTTCTGTTTTATTTAACACAAGTATAAATAAGCTTCATGCCCGTCAACGCGAAAGTTGAAATCCACCTTTTACTATGCTTAGGCCTCCACCGACAAGACGCTAATTAGTCGATAACTATTTGTTATCGACAACTAAATGCCATCAATAACTACTTGTGTCCGATGCGAGCATTCCACTCATTGGAGTGTTAGTTGTCGACAACTAATTCAGGCCAGTGAGAGCATGGGAGCTAACGTTCACTACGCATGTTCAAAACACAATACGCATGTTCAAAACGCAATACGCACGTTCGAATGGGTGTCATGTTTGGATAGCTGTCGGCAACTAAACGGGATATAATTCATGGTAGGCCACCCATATAGTCTCCCTGCAGTTTGCTTCTATTTACTGCCGTTTGCTTGCGGTTAGCATTTAAATATTGTNAGAAATGGCGCGCGCTTACGGTCTCCGTCCCCGATTATGGTTCCTGATATGGTCCAATTTTTCTGCAGGCACAAGCTGTTCTGTTTTATTTAACAGAAGTATAAATAAGCTTCATGCCCGTCAACGCGAAAGTTCAAATCCACCTTTTACTATGCTTAGGCCTCCACCGACAAGACGCTTATTAGTCGATAACTATTTGTTACCGACAACTAAATGCCATCAATAACTACTTGCGTCCGATGCGAGCATTCCACTCATTGGAGTGTTAGTTGTCGATAACTAATTCAGGCCAGCGAGAGCTTGGGAGCTAACGTTCACTACGCATGTTCAAAACACAATACGCATGTTCGAAGCACAATACGCATGTTCAAAACGCAATACGCACGCTCGAATGGGTGTCATGTTTGGATAGCTGTCGGCAACTAAACCAATGATTCCCACACACGTGAAAAACGGTCAAAACGTAGTTGTCGACAACTAAAGCAGTTTCCCTTTAGTTGCCTAGTTGTCGACAACTAAACATGTAGGGTTTAGTCAGTCGACAACTCATCGCACAAACTACGTTTTTTAGTTTTCGATAACATTTAGTTGTCGATAACAAATAGTTGTTG